AAATTTCTTCACTGAGAGGGTTGTCAAGCATTGGAAGAGGCTGCCCAGGGAAGTGGTGGAGTCACCATGCCTGGAGGTATTGAAAAGCCTTGTAGATGTGCTGCTTAGGGACATGGTTTAGTGGTGGACTTGGCAATGCTAGGTTAATGGTTGGACTTGATGATATTAAAGGTCTTTTCCAACCAAAATGATTCTATGATTCTATGATTCTCAGTCTGAAGGCTATAGCATATCAAACTCCCTTTTGGGTTATCCCTAGCAATTTAAGCAGGAGTTGTATTTAAGCTTATGAAATTTTGCTTAATTTTATTTTAGTACTCATCCTGCTTGTAATAATAAGCTTCCTGTAGTAGGAAAGAATGGTAATCAAAATGTGGAGTGTCTTGCATGTGATTCTCTTGGGACAGAAGAGCAGTAAGATTGTATATTTGAACAGTTCCCTTGACCATCTTCTCTTCAGGAAGATGTTCTCTAGGAAATGTAATTAGTGTGCTTAGTCTATCAGCTCTCTGCTCAGACATTTCGGCCTAAAATGGCAGATGTTACCCGATTAATCTCATGGCATCTTTGCACAGCATAACCAGCTGTATCCAGTGGAAGGATGGCAGGCCATAAGCACAAATTGAAATACAGGAAATTTGGTTTAAACATAAAAAAGAACCCTTTTTACTGTGACTGTGGTCACACTAGAATAGGTTGCCCAGAAATATTGTGGAGTCTCCACCCTCAAAGATATTAAAAACTTGACTGGACATGAAGCTGAGAAACCTGCTTTAGCTGAACCTTAAGTAGGGTGGATGGACCAGACAACTTCCCGAGGTGCCTTCCCACCTCAACCATTCTGTGATTTTTAGGTTTATGAGAGCAAGAGTAAGCCCATAGAACCAGATCTCCATTATATGAATACAAATCCATTGAAATTTAGCAGGCTCACTTAGCCATGTCAATATAAATTCCGGGTTGTTTCACTGCATCATGAAAGCCCACAGAAAGCATTCACTCCAGATGCTTTGGATATGAGTCCTAAGCCTAATACTATAAAACACAAGCAGTTTTCTTGGTATAATTAGGAACAACTTTGTAATCCCAGATAAATTGACCTTTCACTTTAGTACAGTGGAGTATGTGAAGAAAGTTCATTAATTCTGGAACAACTGCAGTCTGCACCTGGCCCCTTCTTTTCTCTTGGATGCCATGGAATGGAAGGATTTGACTGCTTTCAGAACTTGCTTTTGGGTCATAGGAACCCCCTAGCCATGAGATCTGCTATTATTATGGAACCAGGAATTTAAAGGAGACCTTCAGCTTTACTTCATTTTTTACCCTGTAATTTTATACTGATAGATACAACTGTAGACAGAGAAAAGCAAACAGCTGTTCTTTGGAGTGAAGAAGATCAAAATGGCCTTGCTGCCCTCTCTTTCTCATATATCCTGTATGGAAATTTTTTAATCCATAGACGTAAGACCAAGTATTACTAAACTTGATGTGTGTTGTAGAATTAAAATGGTGGTTGGGGTTTGGATTATTTTTTTTGTGTCACAAGCTCACCCCAGTCCTCTGAACTCTCTCTGTACATATGCAGCTGCACAGGCATCTAGATTATAAAAAGGCATCTAATTGTATATCCAGTTAAAGTCCGAGGCAGAGCTGGCATTTGTCTAGATATAGGTGCGCTCTGTACATGTAGCATTAATTTGAGAAGCTCAGAAAAATAAGCATCCTCAGTCTTAAAAAACAGAGTACTATTTCTGTTCAAATGTTAATAAGTTAGGAAATAATTAAAGATTTTTTTTTTAGTGATAATACATTAAATTAATTGGAGGTATAGGAATTTAATAGCTGTGATATTGTACAAAGATATCCCCTGTCATGCATCTTTCGGACTGTTTGCAAATTATACTGTACCATCTTCAGAGTCACAGAACAAACAACTGGAAGAGATAAGCAGTAGTGATATTCTGTAATTAGAGACTAATTAACCTGAATTGAACTGCTGTTATTCCTTAGTGGCAAAGGGTTGCAGTATTGATAAGCTAACTCTTCACAGACTAGAAAAAAAATTCTTGAAGTGTTCTACAGTTGTCTGAACCTTATTTTATTTTTAACAGTTTCTATTACTAGAAATTAATATTACATGAACCTATTAATATTGTAATTAATATTACAAAACCATTTCTATTCAATGTTTCCTCTTTTTAAAGATTTGGATTTCATTTGGGAATATTCACTAAAACTATTGCATGATTTCCTCTGTGTAAATAGTTCATAGGTTATAGATGTCTAGGTAAAATAATAATTAAACAAGGCTAACCTCAAACAGAACAGTGTTTTTAGGTTTGACTGTCTCATCTTCAGAATCAGGAATATTTTCACTGTGGCACTGTACTGACTGACCTAGCTGTGAGGGGTAAATTCAAGATTAAAATACTGCTAGGTTTTGAACCTGGAAGAAACAGAGGTAGATTTCCTATGGCAAGGGTTTCTTTCGCTTTACAACATCTGAGCATTTTTAACAATTGTTAATGGATTAGAAATGACTGTTTGGTCTGAAATGTATGGAAATTTCTATATTCTTTTTTATTACATCAAAAGATTTATGTTAGTAAAACTGAGATCAGGCTCTGTCCCAGAATTTTGCATTTGTTTTGTCAATAATGAAACTGGGCATGTGATTCACTAACTAGCTCAGCATCTTCCCAGATTTAAGAGTGTGCTTAACTTCCTGTACTATCAATGGATCCACTGGCAGGTGTAGAGCAATAGACGATACTTTAACGTGCTCAGGAATCAAGACCTGGACAAACTACTGTTTAAGCACTATATTTGAAACCAGAAGCATCCTGCTGCAAATCCACTGCTAGGTACAGAACATTTTCAAGTACATTTTCAAGTTCCATTAACTACAGCCCAAGATACAAATTCTTTGCTGATTCTTTTCTTTTTTTTTTTTTTTTTGATCCTTCATCAACACTAAAGCCAAGCGCAGATTGCATTGAAGACTATCGGCAAACATAGCAGATCAAATATTTTAGGCAGTAACGCATCTGTATAGTCTCTGTGTTGACTTCTTTCTATCGGTGAAGTCTGGATAGTTGTCCACAGTACCAGGATTTGTCGAATTGCTTGTTGGTGATGTTTGATTTAAGGATATAAAAAGATGAAAAGAATTTCACTGCTCTGCTGTTTTAGAATTGTTGTTCCTCTGCTGAAATATTCACTGCTTAAAACAAATGCAAATTTTAATAACAAAATCAGTTTCCTTAATCCTAACTTATTTTAAAAGTTAATTTGTTTCATGTTGTGGCTTACAAAGAAAAACCAGATTTACAGATTTGAAGAACCAAATTCTGTATTCCTTAGAATATTTCAAAAACAGCTCTGTTTGTCAACAGCAGTTTCCTAGTGCTGTAATTGATAACATAGTACAGTCCATGGTAAAGTAGTGTGACATATGCATTTGTGATATAGAAAGCATCTGAAAGTAAAGGGAGTTGTTTTCAAAGACACACATTAGAAATGGCAACATCTTTCTTCTTTGGAATTAAATATTTGTCTGTCTTTTGTTCTTTTGAAAATATTTCCCAAAAGAGTTTTTAAACAAGAGTGTCAAAGAGAAAGACACCAATTTATATCAGCAGAAGTACAAGCCTAAGACTGAGAAACACTGAAGTAAAACAAAATTTTCCAGCTTGAAAAATTATGGAAGCAAGTGTATATAGGAGACGGTATTACAGTCATTGAGAGCAGTAGGAAGAGGTGCAATTTTAGAACAGATTACTAAGCTGACTTTATAACTAATTTTAAAGCTTTTTCTCTTATTTATTCATTTTTGAAGGTTATGAGGATTATGATCACATGTGCAGCTCTGCACAGCTGTCCACTTGGAGATGATGGTCACTCCTTAGAGAATATACGCAAACTCCTGGTTAACCATCAGCATAGTGCTCCTTTTATCCAAAAGATTTGATAACTGCTTTTCACCAGCTCTCCGGTTTTGTTCCATCATGGTGTCTCTACCAGCCTAAACCATTTCCTAAAATGGTCCTTTTGCTGTTCCTTGCAATCCTGTTATTGAAGGAAGATGTCTGTGGGAACTTTGGGCTTTTGGTTTCTGCACAGGCCAATGAAAGAAGAGTGGTTGCACACATGCCTGGTGATATTATCATTGGAGCTCTATTCTCTGTCCACCATCAACCAACTGTTGACAAGGTTCATGAGAGGAAATGTGGAGAGGTAAGAGAGCAGTATGGCATTCAGAGAGTGGAGGCAATGCTACATACCCTTGACAGAATTAATTTGGACCCCACACTGTTGCCAAATATAACGCTAGGATGTGAAATAAGGGACTCCTGCTGGCATTCTGCTGTGGCTCTGGAGCAGAGCATTGAGTTTATAAGGGACTCTCTTATTTCATCAGAAGAAGAGGAAGGGATGGTGCGATGTGTGGATGGATCTTCATCGTCTTTCCGCTCCAAGAAACCCATTGTTGGTGTCATTGGACCTGGCTCTAGCTCAGTTGCTATCCAGGTCCAGAACTTGTTGCAGCTTTTCAATATACCTCAGATTGCTTATTCTGCCACAAGCATGGACCTAAGTGACAAAACTCTGTTCAAGTATTTTATGAGAGTTGTGCCATCTGATGCACAGCAAGCACGGGCTATGGTGGACATTGTCAAGCGCTATAACTGGACCTATGTTTCTGCTGTACATACTGAAGGTAAGAGGCTGGGTTTTTTCCATATAAGAATGCCTTCAAACTACTTTGATGTGGTCAAATACATAGATGATGACAGTTTGATGTTGTTGTTTTTTTGCCAGTCAGTTGTCAAGAGTATAAACTTTTGCTTTACTTAATAATAATTTCACATTCCCTATGGGGCTGAAGTAGCATCAATGGCTGAAAAAGAAAGTTTGATATACAGGATTGTGTGTGCTCTAGGGCCACTTGTTGCTAAAAGTGCTTACTCTAGAGTCTCCTAAGTGACTTAGTTTCATTTAATTGACATGTATTTATTTTTCTTAATCTACCAACCAGTGTATTTATGTAGAATAATCATTTTGACTATATTGGTATCAATGGGTAATGAGAAAGCGTCTGGTCTTCCCAGTGCAGAAGAGAGCTAAATCATCATTTGAAACTGTAGCTGAATCAGAATGTGTTCCTGCTTAATATCTGAGGCACAGAGGCACGAATACTAGAAAACATGTAGTTCTGGCTAATATTTGAATGCAGGTTGTTCCAACTCCTGGAGACCAGAACTATTTCTGTCTTTTTTATAATACTCCATGGAGTATTGCAGCCACTTCTTGCTCTGCATCTGGTCATTGGTTTCGGGAATGAGCAAGGGAAGTCTCCTCAAATCTTCTTCACACACTTATGCTCCATCAGGTGTCCAGAAAATCAAAACTGTGTGCTAAATTGCTTTCTTTTTTTTTTTTTTAATTAATTTGAGTTAAAGCTTAAGATTTTACCCAGTGTTCAGAAGAGTATATGATTAAAGGGAAATGTTATGGAAAAGCTTACCTGATTTCATTATTCCTTGTATTAACAGAGTTGAGTGGGTTCATCTTGCTATAAGTGACTAGAATTTCATACTGCCTTAAGAGCAGGTTTCTCCAGTCCCTGTCTAATGACAGCACCGTTTAATGAGTTTTCTGGAATTAGGTTCTGTGATGTGTTCAGAAGAGTATATGATTAAAGGGAAATGTTATGGAAAAGCTTACCTGATTTCATTATTCCTTGTATTAACAGAGTTGAGTGGGTTCATCTTGCTATAAGTGACTAGAATTTCATACTGCCTTAAGAGCAGGTTTCTCCAGTCCCTGTCTAATGACAGCACCGTTTAATGAGTTTTCTGGAATTAGGTTCTGTGATGAATTCTAGGATCATACTGGGTCGCCTCTGTTCAAACAGACAAACTCGGAATGGAAGGCTTAGAATATGATCTGGGAATGAAAAATGTTATTAAGAGATTGAGTAGTGGCGATGGCATTTCTGAACAGCAGCAGATGTTACTGGCTTTATTACAACCAATAGAAAGCAGATTGTCCTTCCCACACACTGAGTATGTTTCTCTGGCAGCCTTCATACTATTCAAAGCCCTTTTTGGGGTGATGCTGGTCCAATGCTAGTATGTAGAGATCTTTGTCCTCCTACAGATATGTAGAAAGCTTGTTCTGCAGTATTTAAAAAAAAAAAAAAAGTTAGGTTTTATATGCAGATTGTTGCAATCATGTTTCCATCACAATAACAAATGATAGCTGGTAAATAACTGTATCTTTTTTATGGGAATGCATGAATATATTAACAGTTTAATATAACAGTGTATAAATCACCCTACGTCACATCATGTAGTGAAGGTATTCTGTGCCAGCTGATGCCTTTGGTGTGCAGCCTTCACTTCACAAATACATATGAATAAGATTATGGTCAAAAATAATGCCACTGATGCATCACATTAGCATAAGATTTTATATTCTGACTACTTTTGATGACTTGTCTAATTTTTGCTATGAACAACTTTTACACCTCTGCTTATTGAGAGGGGATGCTTATATATTCCGTGTGGGAATTGTCAAGCTTATATCAAGGTCTGTTTCTGAACAGAGTGAGAATACTTACTTTTACCACTTCCCATGGACACTGTTTGGAGCAGATGGTAACATATGGCATGTTAATCTTATGGCAGGGGAACTTTGCACTGTACATTGAAAAGAAGGGAATAGGGACACAAGGGTTGAAGCTGGAGGTAGCTGCTGTGGGCAAGACAAAAGTAGAAAGTGACAGAGGAGCTGGGTATGCAGAAAGAGAAATGATGATCTAGTACAACCTATGCCTACTTCTGCCGGTATTAAAGTGGACAAGATAGGTGGTGTGTTATGAGGCCTCATATCATTCATAGCATGTTTAGAGCAACATAACTCAATTTCAGTGAACGAACATTAAACTTGGGTTCTGGGAATCTTATGATCCTATCATCTATTTGCATGGTCTGGCCATAGTGATGAATATGCTCTGCAGTTAAATAACATGACACAAATATTTTCTAACAATAGAACAGATGGTATTTATAATGGGATAGACAAATACAAACTGGTCAAGGTATTTCTTTGAAATGTGACAATGTCTAATATTCTGGACACTTTCCAAAACTTATGGCAGATGTTGTCCCTTCCAGGAACAGAAAGATTTTTTAAAAAACACCACAAAACACTCCTATTGATGAATGTTAATGTAAAGGAAATGAATAAACAAGCAAAAGAGATATCCTTTATTTATATTATTTTTAGTATTAATTTTCATTTTAATATAGCATCTGTTTACTTGTAAACATTCCAAATATGCCCCCTATACTCAGTGTCTTACATTCATAGGTATTATTTCAAAATAGGGGAAAAAAAAATTGTTGAATCCCATTCCTTGCAATTTTTATCGACTTAGGATCTTGTACACCCATTGAGAGAGGATCTTCTTTCAGTGCCTCCAGTAATTCTGGCCATCTACGTTCATTATCTTTAGCTCATCTTCAGGCATTAGCCAGACTGTTCTGAAATATGATCTTTGGTTTCTGGGAAGGATTTCCAAGGAGAGGGAGGTTCCTGTCTTTCAAAGCTGGACAGGGAGAAAAGAAGAGGCAGAAAAAGCTTGGTTATTTCATTGCTTTTGTAGTTCCATGGGCAGATAAAGTTATAGGTCTATTTTTGGTCTAGTATAAGAAAAGCCTGGGATAAGTCAGTAGCTTCATAATAAAAAGCTTCCTTTTTGAATCTTTCCTTCTGCACTTACTAATGATCTATGCCTACAGTGGATTAATATTTTGGGAGGTTGATCTGAATTTTTGTTGTTAAATCCTTATTCAAGATTTCCAGATTTAAAATACACAAAAATTTTGAGAGGTTCTCGTAAGCTTTGCTCCTTTGACATTTAGTATCACTGTTTAATCTAGGTGATGCCTCCAGGTGTGCAACTAACCACTAAGAGTAGGTTTTTTTTCCTAAGAATTGGAAGGTAGCAAGCACTATTGTCGGTGGAGCTCTTGTAATTTTAAGGAGGAAGTTTCTGCAGTCCAATTAATAGGAAATATGAGTAACAAATGAAGGACATTTCTGATAAAGCAACAGTCATCTCCACTTACTGTAGTGTATTTTACATATGCCACTCAGAAATCTTTGCAAGTCTTAGTCTTAGGTTGTAACTCCCCTTGCTCGCTCTGTCAGGAATGACATATGCCACTGGTGTCATTATCTTCCCCCACTCTTCAACTCTTCCTTGCATTTAATAATTGGTGGGGCTCTACTCTGAACTGATCTGGCTTTAAAATAAAACTTTTTCACCCACCATCAGGGCACTTTTTAAAAAAACCTCATCAGTTCTGGAATACAGGTCACGCCATGGCCCCACAAACAGACATGTTAACACTGTGTGGCAGGGAGGTAGGAGTGAGTGGGCAAAGAGGTAAAATGTGATGGGAAACTCCTTGTACTAAGGACCTATCACTTAGAGCCTGAAGCAAGTGCCTTCAACTTTATGGATTGCTACAACAGGCATGCAGGGTGTCCTGGAGACCATTTTATTTAAAGTTTGCATACTGATCTAATTCTTTCAGCTGGCCTTACAGATGTTGTTTTCCACCGCTGTGATAGGAACAGAGGCTAAACAAACTTTCCTTAAACTCAAACCAACTTTCACTTCTTAAACCAACTTTGCAGACAGCCAGCAGGTCAATAACGCAGTCAGGAGCTCAGTCTGTGCCTCTCTCTCAGGCAAAGTAGCTCAACAGAGAGAAGCCCTCCGGTTTAGTCCCTCAATTTCTCAGAGCACCTTAGGGATCTTTTTTAGCTCATGTAACTGTTGTCCACCCCCTGGGGAAACTCATGCATGGACAAGGGAGTAGAGAGGAAAATTTGTGCCTGTATCTGGATTTTGGGTGGTAATGGCTGGCATGCAGATGGGTCATGCAGCTCAAGCACCCCCTGGAGTTTTGTCTCGGTCTTTTCTTGCTTAACCACACGGCACAGCAACTAATCGGAAATGGTGGGGGAAACTGGGGAGAAGATGGCTGTCTGCCCCAAGAGACAAAGAACTGTCTGTTTACCTCATTTCCCATACGAAAGCATTCTCTGGTCTTTTTGAAAGATCAGAGAAAGATATATACAATTTTCTCTTCTCCCATCATTGCGGTTCGAAGGCCTCATTGAAAGCCTGTTCAAAGTCAATACTCCCCCGTTGACTAGACTGACATTTGGATCAGGCTTTCCTAGTCAGAAACAAGGTCAATCCCTGAGAGTCTATGCTTAAAATTTGCCTGGAGCCAAATGAATTAATAATTTGAAAGGCAATTTTCATTGCCATTTGAAACCATTTATTTTGCCACTCTGAATGGAGTGAAGAGGTGATGTATGCTGGAAAAACAGAACTGCACAGGGGTACAATTGAAACACAATAGGCCAAATTTATTGGGGATAAATTTCACTCCATTATGTAAAAGGTGTGATTTACTTTTGAACACAGCCTCAAGAAAGAAGCTACTTTGTTAACATTTTCTTTAGACAGCTCTGCAGGTAAACATTGGATCAAACTCATCTTCAAAGTCCTCTCTGTTTAATATCACTTTCCTCCATTTAAATTTGTCATATGTGAATATAAAGAGGTGGTTCACATTCATTTTCTTAGGCTGTACCCAGGCAAGCATAACAAAAGCAGAACTTTTTTTCCCC